ACCTTTCCTCCACCAATATCTCCGGCCCCATTTCCCCTTCCTTCGGCTCGCTGACTCAGCTTCGCCTTTTGGACTTGTCTTCGAACTCTCTTTCAGGGCCTATTCCAACTGAACTAGGCAAACTCACTCTGCTCCAGTTCCTTTTCTTGAACTCAAACAGATTGAGTGGCTCAATCCCACAGCAGCTAGCCAATCTCGATTCAATCCAAGTCCTCTGCCTCCAAGACAATCTCCTTAACGGGTCGATTCCATTGCAAATAGGCTCGTTAATTTCGCTGCAGCAGTTAAGAATCGGTGGGAATCCATCTCTAACCGGTGAAATCCCACCTCAGTTGGGACAATTAACGAATCTAACAACATTTGGCGCTGCGGCCACTGGTTTATCCGGTGCTATCCCTCCCACATTCGGAAATTTGATCAACCTCCAAACGTTGGCTCTTTACGACACCGAGTTATCCGGTTCGATTCCACACGAATTAGGGTTTTGTTCGGAGTTGAGGAACCTGTATCTGCACATGAACAAGCTCACCGGTGCAATCCCTTCCGATTTGGGGAAGCTGCAGAAGCTAACTAGCATGCTTCTGTGGGGGAATTCTCTCTCCGGCGAAATTCCGGCTGAGCTTTCCAACTGCTCTTCCCTAGTTGTGCTCGATGTGTCGGCCAATGATTTGTCCGGCGAAATCCCTGGTGATTTAGGCAAGCTAGAGGTTCTCGAGCAGCTTCATTTGTCCGACAATGCACTCACTGGTTCAATCCCATGGCTTCTGAGCAACTGCACGAGTTTGATTGCTCTTCAGCTTGATAAGAACCAGTTATCTGGTCCAATCCCAGGGCAAATTGGTCAATTGAAGTACTTGCAGAGTTTTCTCCTGTGGGGAAATTCTGTCACAGGGACCATTCCATCTACGTTTGGGAACTGTACAGAACTGTATGCGCTTGATCTCTCGCGGAACAAGCTCACTGGATCAATTCCCGAAGAAGTATTCAGTTTAAAGAAGCTGAGTAAGCTGTTGCTAATGGGTAATTCATTAACCGGTGGACTATCACGAAATGTAGCCAAATGCCAATCTCTCGTGAGGCTAAGGCTCGGTGAGAATCAACTCTCTGGCCAAATTCCGAAAGAAATCGGACACCTCCAGAATCTCGTGTTTCTTGATTTGTACATGAATCATTTCTCTGGAGGCTTGCCAGGTGAAATAAGTAATATCTCGGTTCTTGAATTTTTGGACGTGCATAAAAATTACATCACCGGAGATATACCATTTGAATTGGGAGCGCTCGTGAATTTGGAGCAGCTTGATCTTAGTCAAAATAGCTTCGCCGGTGAAATTCCATGGAGTTTCGGTAATTTTACTTACCTGAATAAGCTAATCTTGAATAATAACCTTCTCAGCGGCGAAATCCCAAAGTCGATTAGGTACTTACAGAAAATAACTCTCCTTGATTTGAGCTTCAATGGTCTTTCCGGTTTTATTCCACCTGAAATCGGTTACTTGACGAGCTTGACAATTAGTTTGGATTTGAAATCGAACAATTTCAGCGGCGAAATCCCAGAGAAAATATCCAGTTTGACGCAGCTGCAGTCGTTGGATCTCTCGTTAAATATGCTTTACGGGAGGATCTCTGTTTTAAGTGTTCTCACAAGTCTCACTTACCTCAATGTTTCTTGTAATAACTTCTCCGGTCCAATACCTGTAACACCATTTTTCAGAACTCTAACACCAAATTCTTTCATCAACAATCCTCACCTTTGTGAATCTCTCGATGGCTCCACTTGTTCTTCTCGGCTATTGGGAAAAAACGGGTTGAAATCTGCCAAAACCATAGCATTAGTCACTCTAATTCTGGTTTCGGTAATAATGGCGGTAGTTGCCACCTGGATTCTTGTGGCAAGAAATCCCAACTACACGATCAAGAAATCGGGATTTCCGAGCTCGTCCACAGAAGAGGATTTCTCATATCCATGGACTTTCATTCCATTTCAGAAACTCGGCTTCACAGTAGACAACATCTTGAACTGCTTAAGAGACGAAAATATAATCGGAAAGGGATTTTCGGGGGTGGTTTATAAAGCGGAGATGCCAAACGGAGAAACAATTGCGGTTAAAAAGCTCTGGAAAACGAAGAAAGACGAAGAAGAACCGATCGATTCCTTCGCCGCTGAAATTCAAATTCTCGGGCATATCAGGCACAGGAATATAGTGAAACTACTCGGGTATTGTTCGAACAAGACTGTGAAGCTTCTTCTATACAACTACATCCCGAATGGAAATCTCCAGCAGCTCCTGCAGAACAGCAGAAGCTTGGATTGGGAAACGAGGTATAAAATAGCCGTTGGATCGGCTCAAGGCCTAGCTTATCTCCACCACGATTGCTTGCCCACAATTCTCCACAGAGATGTCAAGTGCAATAATATTCTATTGGATTCGAAATACGAGGCTTACCTAGCAGATTTCGGGCTTGCGAAGCTGATGAATTCTCCGGTGAATTATCAACAAGCGATGTCGAGAGTGGCGGGGTCGTACGGATACATTGCACCAGGTGACCTAATTTTACAATTTCTCCAGAAAATTTTGTATTGATGATAAATGTTGGTACTGAAAGTGTTTAATTGTGATTTGCAGAGTATGGGTACACAGCGAATATAACGGAGAAGAGCGATGTGTACAGCTACGGCGTCGTATTGCTGGAGATACTGAGCGGGCGGAGTGCGGTGGAGCCGCAGATAGGGGAAGGGATGCATATCGTGGAGTGGGTGAAGAAGAAAATGGGGAGCTTTGAGCCGGCGGTGACGGTGCTCGATACGAAGCTTAGGGGTTTGCCGGATCAATTGGTGCAGGAGATGCTGCAGACGCTAGGGATTGCGATGTTCTGCGTGAATAATTCGCCGTCGGAACGGCCGACGATGAAGGAAGTGGTGGCGCTTTTGATGGAGGTGAAGAGCCCGTCGCCGGAGGAATCGGGGAAAACTTGTCAGCCTCTTATGAAATAAGCCCCCGTATCAGAGATTATTATTTTTTTTTTCTTTTATTTATAGCTCTTTTTTTTTTTTTTCTTTTTTCTTTTTTTTTTTTAGTGTTGAGGGATTTTAGTAGTTTCTTTTTTATTAAACTCTTTTATCTTTGGGGAATTTCTTTGTACAGGTTTAGCTACATTTTACTGCCTTATTAGTGTTAGTTCATTTAACAATTACAAGTTAAATTAGAAGTTAACAATTCGAAGTTAAATTCGTTGGTCTTGACTCTTGACTCTTGCTAGAAATGTTTTTTTACAATCTCCCCCCTCATTTTTTCCATAATTATATCCACCCCTGCAATTTGTACATTTCTTACGTTAACACCCTTTAGTAAGGGGTGGATTCAAGAAATTTGCAAACTGTAGGGACCTGGTTCATAATTACACTTTACATATCAAGAAGGTGGTTGTAATATACCCTTTTTCTTTTTATAATTTGAAAACATTAATATTTTTGTAGAAAAAAATATTAGGCATCCTCATGTAAAAAGTTTTCGGAAATATTTCCCGAAAGTAAAATCCGACCGGAAAGCAGCAAAATCTAACATGTATTCCAATTCCGTTAAATAAGAAAAACAGAAATCGAAACTCTCGATGAATAATGTTGAATTCCTAAATCAGAAATTTTTGGAATTAAATAATCCAAAAATCTTGTTCCGAATTTACACCCCTACTACTGCTATTTAACATAAATAATATTTCATCCAAGTCTCTGTTGAGTTTCGTGAGCAACTCCACCAGACCACAACAGGTGAAAGACCCAAGTCAAAACCTAAATACCTAACCACCAACAAATCCTCCAAACTCAATACCTATAAATTACACACACACACACACACACACACACACACATTCTGAATTTAATTCAATACCTGAATAATTAATACACACTCTCATGGCTAGGCATAATCTCCTCTTCTTGAAGCACCACCAGCTCAGCATCTCCCACATCAGCTTCGGCATCGGAACCTTCCTACTGTGCGCATTCACACTTTTCATGTGTGTAAATCACTCACGAAGGTGGCGTAAATGGAAATCATGCTACGGTTATCGAAACCAGCAAAATCCAGTCATACAACACAACCATGAAGATATTATCGGCTACAACTATGGAGAAGACATCGAACCTAGTACTTACAGCGGTGATGTCAGCTCTGTCTGGAAGAAGAATATTCTCATGGGAGGAAAATGCCAGCTTCCGGACTTTTCCGGAGTAATCATCTATGACTCCACCGGAAACCGAGTCCCCCCTGCCAAAACCCTTCCAGCACTTACATGGAAATGATTCAGATTCCACTACCACCTTTTTTTATCTGTTGTTTCTTTTTCCGCAGTGTAATTATTTGAACAAAGAAAGACGATCAATGATATAATACTGTTTCAGCAAGAAATATGCCTAATATCAATGTTTTTACAGGGTTAAAAACGGAAAGAAAGCGAAAAAAATAATAATATAGGTTGAAAAACTAATAAAAAGCTTTAATAAAACAAGTATTAGTTGTTTGTTGTTAACCAGTCTTCACTGCACTACGGCCCCTAAATCCAACAACACTTAGCTTCGATGTGGATTTAACAGCCTCGGATTTTCGGGCGGGTCCCGTTTTACTCTTGGTGCTACTGCCATAAGGCTTGGATGGTTTGAAATCTTTAACAACCTTCTTCTTAGACTTGAGAACAAAAGGGGCAGATATGTCAGATTTGGCTGCTGAGGTTCTGTTCTTGGAGACTGTTGATCTGCCACGGGGTTCGTACGATGATTTGCCACGGGGTTCGTATGATGATTTGCCACGGGGTTCATATGACGATTTTGTAGGTGCAGCAGATTTAGTAGCAGGCTTGTTTCTTGAATTGGAACCTTTAACCATCCTCTCGTTTTTGTCCTTTTGCTCGCTTATGTGGGACCTAGCAAGATCCCTTTTGATACTATCCACGGAGATTGATTCCAAGCTCTCGTTCTTCATTAGAGCCTCTTCGATGAGGGCGGCCAAGTTCGTGTTTTTTCTAGCAACCAAACTTGTCACCTTCCCTGCAATAGTGAAAGACAGTATTCTTAATGTAGTAAAATTACAGTTGTTTACAATTTTGTTTACTGTAAAAAGTTGTATAAATTACCTTTTGCACCCATACGAGCGGTTCTTCCAGTGCGATGAAGGTAATCAATCTGAAAGTCAAAAACAATGCGAATCACATTTCTGGCGTGTGTTGTGTGTGTGTGTGTGTGTGTGTGTGTGTGTGTGTGCGTCTGTGAGAGAGATATATATAGAGTATACTTACAGAGTTTGAAGGAAAGTCAAACATGATAACATGGTCAACATCTAAGTCCAAACCCCTTGCAGCCAAGTCCGTACAGACTAAAGTGGGGCAGTCTCCTTCATTACTCTTAAATTTTTCCAGGTTCTCAACCCTATATTAGAAAAATACGACACCATTTCAGATAGGCGATTAATAGAAACAAAAGAAAATAAAGCTAAAGGGCAATATCAGTGAATTTAGCAGGTACACCACATAATTTCTACCAACTTGAGAAACTCAATATTAACTGTAGAAGCACTCATACAGAAGAAGACCCAAGAATTAAACATTTCCAATAGAATCATATAGATTAATTATTATCTCACCTTTGTTCAGCTGGCACCTCTCCATGATAATTGACAGTAAGGATTTGGTTTTCACTTAAAAAGTGATCCACAGCTCGACTAGAATTTAACGTGTTACAGAAAACCATCACTCTGTTTCCTTTTGCTAAACTTGGCTCAAGAACCTACGATCACATTATCATATCAAATTATCAATTATCGAATCAAAGTTTACGAAACAAAGAATAAATTCAAAGGAAAGTAATCAAACTTTAAAGAAGGTAATAAACCTGCAACAAGGCTTCCAGCTTATTTTCTGAACCTGAAAGTTTGATAAAATCATGGCGAGCGTTCGCAATTTTCTTATGGAGTGAAGAAGTGCGCAAATGAATAATTCCTTGAAATTCATCATCAACCAGCTTCTGCACAGGCTACAGAAGAGTAAAAAAGAAAAAGAAAAAAAAGAAGCATTAGGCCGAGCATAAGAAACATCTCGTAGGGGATTCAAAAAGGGAAAAAGACTATATAACTTGGTCTAATTATATTTATTCCCTCAAAAAGAACAGCAGAAGCCCTACCAGTTTTATGGCATTTAACTTTTACTTAGATTTTAGCTTAAC